GTCCTGCCCCTGCTGGCTCCCTATAGCCATGAGCTGGGATGCAAGGACACTCAGCACTTGGCACCGCACAGGAGGATGCGGCGGGGCAGCGGGATGCCCTGCGGGAGCAGCTGGAACAGGTGCACCGCAAGAGGACTATGAGGCTGCGGGCCCTCGGAGCCAGGTGAGGAGAGCAGGGGAGGCTTGTGGGGTGGTGGCGGTCCCCTTTCCCTGGCATCCGGGATAACAGGCCACTCTCTCCCCAGGAACACCCAGAACTTCCAGCAACTACTGTGTCCCCCAGGCGCTGAGGAGCCTGCGTCTGGAGAGTAGCACTTGTCCCCCTCTAACCACTGCTGTGGAGGTTAAGGAGAAACGAGAGGGCAACCTGAAGATCAGAGGTAGTTTCAGAAAGGCCCAGAGCACAGCCTCAGAATCTGGGAGAGCCAGAGACGGGGACACAGCAGCTTCGTTCCACCAGGTGGAGTGTGATTTCTTCTTCCCACCCCTAAGCACACTGCCTGGCCCAAGGTCAGAGGGCCAGATCCCGGGGGTCAAGCGGTGCAAAGGCCCCGTTCTTGCGGAAGAAGGATTCAATGCGGCACATCTTGCAGGAGACCAGTTCTTGCTTCACTGTGGGGCCTGGGAAAAGATGTCAGAGGCCAGGAATGGGTTCCTGGGTAGGGAACTGGCAGAACACGGCAGCCCTGCCTGCCCAGCCCTAGGAATCTGACCCTATTGTATCCATGACTTTGTAAGCGTGAATAAAAAGTGCTTCTGATGAGTGGGGGCTATGGGAAAACGGAGTGGGCTGGGTGCCTGGGTCAGCAGTGATGGCAGAATGCCACTCAGCTGTGTGCCATCATTGCCCCCCAGCCTCAGGATCCTCCATGGAGGGAGGTGGCAGGACACCCAGACCTGCTTCACAGGGACAGACAAAGCTAGACTTCTCTAGGACACTTGGGGCTTTTTTCTACCTCCTGCTTTGGTTGGAAATTGCTCCTTTTACTTCCCTTTTAGGGCCCTGAGGAAAGAGGAGCTGCTTTTTAGGCCAACTTTCAACTGTGTGTATCCCCAAACATCCACCTGTTCTGTGCAGGCACTACAGCAGCTGGAGAGACACATTACTGAGTAGTTCACTTGAAAGTCATGACCACAGAGAGCAAAGGGACACTCGGCATCACCCAGCAACCCTGCACCGCCCCTGGCATGTTCCTTTTCCCACGCCGTAACTCTTCATCTCAAACCACACTACTGCCTCTGCTCCTCCCCCTCCCAACTGATGACCTTGACTCAGCCTCACAGAAAAATCGGACTCAGTCCAGATAAACACCAACACCATCTCTCAATGCTCCGTGCCTCTCCTGTCAGACTCCAGAATCTGGAGTTCCCTGGGTGGGCTCACCCAATCTCAGGGTTTTAAAGAGCACCTATTTTCTGATGAAACCAAATTTGCAGCTTCAGCTCTGACCTTGCTCCAGAGGACAGCTCCCATACACAGCCTCACTGACACCTCCAGCACATCGCCGGTGCTGACCTGTCTTCATACACCCTCCAGCCCTGCTCCTCTCCTAGTCTTCCCTGTCACAGCTGCTACAGCCAGACACCTGGGTGTCATCAGTGCATTCTTTCCCTTTTTCTCATTCAATCCATCAGAATTCCATGGATTCTTCCTCCAAAACATCCTGAATCTATTTCAGCTCTGCTAATTACCCTGGCCCAAGCTATCATCTCTTGCCAGGAAAACTCAAAGGAACTGCCTAACTCATCTGCCAGTCTATGCTTTCCCCTGGAAAAGCCATTACATACAGAACAGTCAGGGTGATTATTTTTTTTATTTTTAATAAATCAGTGTACTCACCTGCTTAAAACCCTCCACTAACTTCCCCTTACAGTTGGAATAAATCCCAAGCTCTTCCTCCTTGTCATTTAGTTCTCAGCTTTTAGGTCCCCAGTCAGGCATTTCCTGACAATTCCACCTAAAGCAGCACACACCCCTTGCCCCCACCCATCACTCCCTAATCTCATCATGGACCTTCTCCCTCTCAGACATTTCCTTGCTCTTATGGATGCCCCAGGAAGGAGTGTCCATGTGTCTTGTGTGCCTAGTGCCCAGCACACTGCCTAGCTCATGGCAGGTGCCTGTGTTTATGAGGTAATTTCCAGAAAGTTGGGGCTCACCCAGCTGCCAGCCATATGTGAAGTTGGTGGTAATGGGGAAGAGGTAGCGCATCTCTGGGATGTCCAGTTTTCGGGTGCTGAGGTAGTGGTAGCGCCCCTGGAAGTCGTGGGAGATGCCTTCATACAGCAGGGCCCGAGTGGCAGGTGGCACTGGGTACATTTCTGACAGCATAGAAGCCTCCAGGGGAGGGCTGGGGACCCTGACAGGGACTGCTTTGGGGGCAGGTGGGGGTGAGAGTGGGGCTTTGGGGTACAAGGCGGGCAGTTTGAGGGGTAGATGGGCTGCAGCCTTAGCCTTCTGCTTGGCCTTTACCATCGACCCATACTTGCGGTGCCATTCACAGCGCAACATCTTCTCCTTCAGAAGGTCCTCCTTCAAGAAGTTCTGCCGCACCGTATCCATGTTGAGTTGCCGCGACATGGTGGCAAAAGGAGAGGTAGCAGGTGACTGCAACTGAGGGGTGAGCACAGCAAGCAGAATCCTTCTGACAGCAGGTGACTGCCCAGGGACAGTCACCAGGCAACCAAGCCTCACCTCACACAGGGCCAGGGTTCTACTTGCCATGCCCTCAGCAGCCCTCACATGCCTTGCTTCCTGAGGCTGCATCAGGCCAGGCCCACTGGCTAAGAGCCTTGATGCTCAAACCTTTTGCAGGACCCAGGCCCACTCTAGTATCACAGGCTTCCAGGTTTCCTGTGCTTTCTGCTTCCATCCCTTAGGCCAGGTCCCCCCAGCCAATACAGACTAAAGTGGGGGAGCCAGGGGTCTGGGCTCAAGTCTTCTCCTCCTGTTCCTCCCTGCCAGAGCTGGTCGTCTGATTCAGAGGACCAGTCCTTGAGTTATGGCCTCCTAACGCAATCTTCCTTGTCCAACTCCTCTATGCCTGGATCTCTGGCAGAACCTTTTTCAGCCCTGCCCACGTAATCCCTCCAACAGCCTTATCCCACATGTGTCTTTTCTAGCATCCAGGCTTGGTTTGGAGAGAAGCAAGAACATTATTTTAATTTAATACCAACAATGACACTGTGTAACAGCACAGGGAAGAGGTAGTGGAGAGAGAAGACAATCAGGTTTCCTGTTCCCTAACCAGCTTTGATTTTAATGACAGAGCCCCAGCAACATGGAAGCACCTCATCTAGCCTCTCAGTGGAGTGGGAAGGGGCAGGGAATTGGAAATCAGAGGCTCAAAACTTAAAGAGGGGCTGATGGCAAGCCTGGGAGAGGTGGCAGGGCTGTGGGGGAGTCCCTTAGCGCAAGTCTTCGGCCGTGAACATGCCCCTGGCCCTGCGCAGGATGGAGTCCTTGGCGGCATCATAGGGGTGCTCCTTGGATGGGATCTCAAGAACTGCCGGAATGGAGCGCTGGTGGGCATCAAGCGCATGCCGCACCATCTCTGCGATGTACTGGTTGATGAGGATGATGCCGATATCGTCCCGGTTTAGAAACTGCCTGTGGGAGATGAGAAGGGAGTTCAGGGCAGCCCACTCCGAGTTGGTGGGCTAGGCCGCAGGAGGGAATGGGCTTCATCCAGAGAGCTCAGATGACAAGGGTAGAGCTTGCTACACTAAACTCTCCATCCTCTCTGGAATCAATTTCATTCAGAAGCTAAGGGCCATGGTGGTCAGAGTTGGCTTCTTCCTCCCCTGCTTAGAAGACTCCCAAGTGCATTGGCAATACAGATTAGAGTGCAGTGTATTCCATATGCTGCCTTTGTGTAAGAAAGGGAGAGGACAGCCCTAGCGGGTTGGGCTCAGTGGTTAGGGTGTTGGCCTGCGGACTGAAGGGTCCCAAGTTCGATTCTGGCCAAGGGCATGTACCTCGGTTGCAGGCTCGATCCCAGCCCTGGTCGGGGTGTGCTCAGGAGGCAACCAATTGATGTGTCTCTCTCGCATCAATGTCTCTCTCTCTCTCTCCCTTCCACTCTCTCTCAAAACCAATGGGGGAAAAAATCCTTGGGTTAGAAATTAAAAAAAGAAAGGGAAAGTGTAATATGTCTATCCTTTTGCATTTGCATAAAGAAAAAGGGGAAAGAAGCTAAGTGAGTATCCATAGGGGTGGAGGAGGGATGTAATGAGGTAGAAGAGGACAGGGATGGGAGTGAGACTTCTTAATGTGTGTACCTTTTAAGTATTAATTTGCAAACCACATGAACACATTAACTCTTCAAAGGAAAACAAATTAAACATTTTAAAAGGGAGTTGATAAGACCACCAAAGGTCTCAAGGTCTATGCTGATGAGGGCTGGGATGGGTCACTGGGGAAGTTTGGCATGAGCCAAGAACAGGACATAGTAAGAGGAAAATCAGTAATGAAGGAATCACACTTTCCACACAGAGGTTGGAACCAGCGTTGGAACCAGCGTTCCTTTCTTGTGATCACCCACCCACTCATTCATTTATTCATTAAAACAATTTACTTTGTATTATAAAGTAATAATAATACTTTATAATTTTATATGATGTTATTTACCAGTGTTATCCCAATAAATTTAATATTAATAATTTTAAACAACTATTTACTGAGCACCTACCCTGTGCCAGACACTAGAGTAAGTTAGACTTGATCTCTGAGGTCCCTTTCTTGAGGTAAAATCTGTCCTCCCATGACAACTTGGGTCACTTTACCAGACTGCTTAGGGATTAGCAGAGATCAGCTTAGAGATCAGCCTCCCAGGTCAGGGCCTATCATACCCCAGGCAACAGGAACCAGTCTCAACTGGCAGCTCAGGGCTGGGGCTGTTTACGGCAAAACAAGCGAGAGTGCTTTGTTCCTGAGAGTTGGCAACAAGGGCCTAGAGAAGGGGTGAAGGAAATAACAGGGGGTTGGCACCCTCAATTCTAGTCACCAGGACACTGCCTGAATTTAGGGACATGCCTGCAGAAGGTGGGACACAGTACTGATATTCTGCCTGCTGTTCTCAAGACAATGGAAAATTCCAAGACCGACAGGGGAGGGCAGCCCAAGCAGATTGTGGACCTGACTTAAGAAAGGCAGAAAGGTTTGGGGCTGGGTTCAAATCCTTACGCTGTCGCTTCCAAATCATGTGACTTTGGTTATGTGCCTTAATATCTCTGAGCTTTAGTTTTCTCACCCGTAAGTGGGAATAACAACCCCGGCCTTACAGGAAGATTGCGAACCTCTAAGGGAGACAAAAATACAAGAAAGCCGGAGCCCAGGGCTGCCCAGGTGTTCTCTTGGGGTGTGATTCTTTTAGGGGTCAACTCGCAAAAGAGCCGAGCGCTTGCAACACCCGGAGCCTGCTCAGCGGGGGAACCGGGAAATCCCTGCAGAGGGGCTGAGGGTGGCCGCGCCGGGCCTGGGCGCTCTGGAAGCCCCACCTTGGCCGGGCCGGCTGGACCGAGGGGCGCCGCCCGCCACAAGCTCTGTTCCCCTTTCTTCCTGACACACGGTCATGTGAGATGGGAACGAGCCCCCAAAGGGAATCTGCGGAGCGGAGGCCTCCACTCCCGAAGGGCAGGCGGACCGAATTCCCTGACCCTCGAGGCCGGAACGTGGCACTTGGGCCGGGGCCTGGAAGCCCCGCGCCGCCGGGTCCCCGCGCCGCCCCGCCCTCCNNNGCCCTCCCCCTGCGCTTCCACCGGGCGGCGGAGGCTCCCTCTCAGGCCCCGCTTGGCTACCGTACCGGAAAGTGTCTTCGATCTCATTGATGGTTGTGTCCTTCTCCACCACCAGGAAATTAGGGTGGCGGTTCTTGTTAAGCTCCCCGATGCCGCCCAGCAGGAAGCCAGTCACCGTGTCCTCGTCTCCGATCACCGCAATTAGCTTCCCCCTCCCCGCCATCGTTACAGACGGGGCTCAGCCGCGAACGCCTGAGGCCCGCGAATCCCCGCCTCCTCCACGGAGCGCCGCCTTTCCGATCGCACCCTCACCCTGCAGGCATGCGCGGTTCCACCACTCCGCCTCCAGGGACATGCGCATTAACAGCAAAACGGCCTAGGCTCTAGGATTACACCGCCAGCGCCGGGAAGAGTGGCCCGAATCCGGAAACTACGATTCCCAGAAGTCCGCGCGGCATCACGGGTGGGCAAAGGGCGTTCGATCGTTCTGCAACCGGAGTGCTGAGCGCGCTGCGGTGGGACGCCGGGGTTGGCAAAGAAGACAGTTCCAGTTCTCAGAAGGCAAGGTCTGGGTCTCTATCGTGTATATTCGGCACATAGTTAACAATTAGTACATATTGTTTAATTAATAAAAGGGTGAACAAGTTAATGATGTTGCTGTCTAGTGGGGTAGAGTCTAGTGAACTGGCAATGACAAAGCAGCGTGGAAATTGCTAAAATGTGAGAAGTACGAGGAAACACATATCAGAAGTAACTAACCCATGGGAGATGGGGCGCTCAAAAAGGTTGTCAGCAGGCGGGGCTGGGCGGGGCTCAGCCGGTGAGCATCGATCCAGTAGATCGCTATTCGATTCCCGGTCAGGGCACATGCCCGGGTTGCGGGTTCCATGCCCAGCAGGGGGCGTGCAGGAGGCAGCCGATCAATGACTCTCTCATCGTTGATATTTCTCTTTCTCTCTCTCTCCCTTCCTCTCTTTGAAGTCAATAAAGATATATTTTTTAAAAATTTGAAGTTGTCTCTATAAAGGAAAATTGATCTAGATATTTGTGCTCCAGATAAGTCCATCCTTTTAAAAAACAAAACAAACGGTTGCCAGCAGGATGAAGGGATAGAAATGAGGACAAAGGGGTGTTCTAGGGAAGAGGAGCAGCCTGTGCAACCAGCTTAGTTAGGATAGAGAGCATAAGTGCCTTCAATAAAATATAAAGAATCTGGAAGTTATCCTGAGGACAAAGTTATCCTGAAGGCACCGGAGGATTTTAAGTGAGAAAATGATATCACCACATTTATGTTTTAGAGATAGCGTTGTGACCGTGCTGTGTAGAGACATGACTGAAGGAGGAGAAACCGTTGTAAGAGCTGATGGTGGCCAGAACTCAGATAGTAATCATGGGGAACGTGGAGAAGCAGATGGAGTCGAGATATTTCGAGATAGAATGGACAGATCTGGTTTTTTGATTGGATGTGTTTTGGGAGTGAGAGAGACCAGGGAGACTTCCAGGCTTCTGGCCTGTGCAGCTAGGTGGATAGGAATAATATTCCTGAGTGAACTTTGTGAGATGAACATACTGAAGAGGAAAGGTCCACTCTTTCCTCCTCCCTTTTATTTTAAGCCTCATCTAGGGATATGTTTTTATTGATTTTTAGAGAGGGAGTGAGAGAGAGAGAGAAGCATTATTTGAGAGAGAAACTTTGATTGGTTGCCTCCCATAAGCACCCCAGCTGGGGATCGAACCCGCAACCTAGGTATGTGGTCTGACAAGAAATTGAACCCAAAACTTTTTGGTGTACTGGACGACACTCCAACCAGCTGAGCCACCCAGCCAGGGCTTTCCTCCTTTCTAACAAACAGGCACCCTGGCGTCTGGCATGGTGCCTGGCATCGTGTTCTAGAGTTTAGAGCACTTAACATTCAGATGGGCTGGCCTACTGGTTATTTGTATAATAGGCTCAGGATTTGGGCACACCTGATTTGAATCTTGGCCCTGCTACCTAGAGGTATGATTTTGGACTCATCACCACCATTCTCAGGGCCTTAATTTCTTCAGATAACAGTATGCCTGCCATAGGCTGTTCGGATTAAGTGAGATGGAGCCCATAAGTGCTCAGCACCCAGGGCCATACTGTGGTTGGGAGAGAGCAGCTGGGCCAGAAATCTATAAACACATCAATACATAAGAGCAGGGCAGCAAATCATGCAGGAAAACTCTCACATCTGGGGGTGAGACAGAGGGAGGGCAAAGAGTGAGAAGCAGTCAGTGTGGCAGCACCTGACTCAGTGCCTGGCACAGAACTGGCCTTT